TTATTATTATTTTTTTTTTTTTTTTTTCTTTGTTTAAAGTCGCATAAACTACTAAGGTCATGAGCGACTACGGTAGGGGGTAAACTTTTGAGATTGGAACTCGTTTGTATTTCTTGGGCTGAGCAGAATAATACACTTAAATATTGAAAATATTCATTGGTGTACGCCGGATTCGAACCCGGTCCAATGCTTTGATAGCAAGGGCCGGATCCGATAGGCTACTGCGCGCCTTTTTTTATTTTTACATGTGGAATTTTTTTAATAAATTTTTTTTACTATAATTTAATTGTTACAAAAATCTAAAAAATTTTTAGATGTCTGTTAAATTTAGTATTATTTTATTTTATAATACTAAAGCTAGTAGACGTTTTTTATTTTTTATTCATTAAATTAGAACTGAAAAATATTTTTCAAAAATCACACTAATAATTTTTCAAGTTTTTTACAAATTAAATTTCTTTTTGCAATAATTTTTTTAATAAAAAATTTTCTTAAAATTTTTAGATGTCTAATTTAATTTTAATTTTTAAAAGTGTCTATTTACACGCAAAAAATCCTGATAAATCCTCGCACCGTGAAAATTAGGGCTTTTACATTTACACAGCGTGGATTTAAGGCCCTTATATTCACGCAGCGTGGATTTATCAGGACTTTTTTACGTATGAATGGACATGTCCTTAATTTTTTACTGTTTAAAATTAATTAATCAGCCCACGTGGTTAAATAAAAATAACTATTAGTTTTAATATAAATATTAATATTAATAAAAATATTAAATTGAACATAAACATAAAAATTAATATTAATATAAATAAATAAAATAAAAAAAAAAACTTACTTCTGATCCAGGAACTATTCTCCGCTTAGCAGTTTTAACAACTCTCTTCTGTAACTCCTCCGGTGATGCGGCTGTGAATGTTCCCGCATCTTCTGGTTCTTCCTCATTATTCCAATTGTCGTGGTTCAATTCACTAGTTGCGTTCCTTTTACCTGCCATCACTGTAATTCACAAATAAAAAATAACAATTACAAAAAATAAAATTAAGTTTTTCCAAATATAAATAGTACCAATAAAATATTTTGTAACACTAAAGTTGTTGATACACGTTAAACCTAACCTAAAAACCAAAAAATATTAATACATGTTTTAAAAACAATAATTAACAAAAATTATTAATGCAAATAATTTACCTGTACATACGTCGTACTATTACCTAAAAATTCTAATTAATAATAAATAATATCAGTATTAAATATCAAAACTAGATGTAGGCTCTCCAACGCTATTTTTTTACACGATGCGCGTGAGTCAAGTTTACAAATGTCACTTAACCTCAACTTCAAGTACTTCAACCCTCCCTAATTACTCATTCATCAATACTCTACAATTTTCATCAACAACTCTATTCATCTCTAATTACCTTCAATTATCACTTAACTATAGTTATTTTCGCAAACAATTACAAAATAAATTAAAAATTCAAATTCCGTAAATTTGCCCGCGAAAATTAATTTTCAAAATGGCGAGCAATTTTCCGGCAAATACTTTTTTTAATCACTAAAAAAACTAATTAAACTTAAATTAACATAAATAATTATTTTTTAAAATTATTTAATTGAAATTTAAAAAATTTACAAATGGCGCGAAAATTCAAATCGCGAAAATCAGCGGACGATTATTTTTTTAATTAAAAAATTAAATAATAAGGGTAAAAGTGGTCACAATAATTAAAGAAAGTAATGAATAATGGGTAATTGAAAATATTTAAAAGTTTTGCATCCATTATTATTATATTTTTTATTTTTAATGTAGTGTCGCTAGTGTATGTGCAAAAGTTTATTCTGCGCACGCGCACGCAAAAACAATGTGTGTGAAAAAGTACATTATGTATTATAAATTTACTATATACAATATATATATATATATATTGAGAGGCATAGAAGTATGAGTAATGTAATTTAGTGTGTTACCGTATTGTTCGGTAATTCTTGTCTGTGTAAAGTAACAGCAGTCAGTTGACTACAGCGAGAGCGCGAGCAGCCAGGAGTTGACGCTGCGCTGTTAGTGTGTATGCCGCGTAACAGTAAGTACAAGTAAAAGTAATACACATAATTATATATATGTAGAGTTTAATAGTTATATATATATATATATATATACAAATACTAATAATTATACATACACGTGCGCATTGGTATTGGTGAGGTTTAGTTTGGGAGAAGATCAGAACGGACAAGTGCCCGTGGGCCTCCGTCGTGGTGGGTTGTTCGTGGTGCGCGCTCTTCGCCGTCACTTATCCGGCGGAGGATTTTTCTCATCTAATTGACATTTTATTATATTCAATTAATTACTCACAATAATCATAATAATACTCACATTATATAAAATAAATAAATGAATTTTAATTAGATAAAAAAAAATTAAATAATTGATAATTAAAAAAAAAAAGAGTGGCAAGTGATGAAAATTGGTGATTGCAGCGAGAAATAATGAGAAGATAAATAAAATAAAAAAAGTGTTTAGTTATAACTCCGGGGTTTTGTCCACCGGTTTTACGAGTGTGCCGTGTGATAGTGTACGTGTACTCTCCATTCTTACATTAGAGTATTATACACGAATACGGGCACGATTCATCTACTCTCTTGCTCCCTCTTAGTTAGTCCTCGTGTCTTTCTCTTGGATCCTAGTATTTAAGTTATAGTTATTGTTTAGTCTTACTCGCTTGCACTCGCGCTACCAACACAAGTACGTGTACTCACTTGATATAACTATACTCAAACTTATACTGATTCATGCCAATACACCAATACTCACTTGTATTAACTAAGTACATTGTAATATATATATATATATTGTTGAGCGTCTGAGTCGGAGACTTATCACAATTGGGTCCATGCATTTTCCGTCGCACACTTTGCCTATTTGATGATCAAAAATTTAAATCTCGTTAAAAATAATTACATGACTCGACTCCAGTCATTAGTTTTTCTTGTATCAGGCTTGTGCCACGATATTGACCACAGAGGGACCAATAATTCATTTCAAACGCAGTGTGGTACTGTATTAGCGAGTCTTTATAGTTCAGAGGGTTCCGTGATGGAACGACACCATTTAGCACAGTCTATGTGCATTCTCAATACCGAAGGTTGTAATATTTTTGAAAATCTTACTAGTGATGAATATAGTGAGGCTCTAGATTTACTTCGAAATAATATTCTTGCCACTGATTTGGCATCGCACTTTCGTTCAATTGATGAGCAAGATGAAATGATTAAGCAAGGATTCAATAATGAAGATCCAATTCATCAAAAACTTTTGCATGCCATGTTGATGACTTGCTGCGATTTAAACGACCAGACGAAGGATTGGAAAACGTCCAAAAAAACTGCTGTAAATATATTTAATTTTTTATTAATAAATATCAAAGATTTTTCTTCAGTATAAAGAACTTAGTATTGATTGTAATAATTTTTTATTTTCAGGAACAAATATACGACGAATTTTTTTCTCAGGGAGATTTAGAAAAAAGTATGGGCACTGCCCCAATTGAAATGATGGATCGCGAAAGAGCATCAATACCAGATTTACAAGTACAATTTATAACAAATCTTGTTTTGCCTTTATTTGAAAATTTATCTACATTATTTCCTACTGCCGACTGTCTTGTTGAAGCAATAAAACGAAACCGTGAAATTTGGCGAGTTGCCATACCTATATTTCACAGATACAGCGAAATAGGAATAAAAGGAATGGATGTACTTTTGGATCCAAGTATTGAAAACGAAATTCTGACTGCCTACCACACACAAACAGTGCCGACATAGACTAAATAAAATATTATACACATTATATTATATATATATATATATATATATATATATATATTAATACTAATACTAATACTAATACTTGTACTTTTACTACTATTACAGGCAGACTTTTTGTACGCGAGAGGGACACGTTTTCCAATAAACACCAAAAATTAACTAACCCGCGGACTTATTTATAAAAAATAAGTCTAAAATATTATTTTAATTGCAAAAATATTTGGAGCTGGAATTATAATGGAGATATCTAAGGGCCTGCAGAAGGAAATTGTTTTGGTACAAAATAAATTGAAGAACGCCATTTGTGATCATCAGGTAATTTTAAACAAATTATACCTCTTTTTTATTTAAATGTTTGTTTTACTTTAAGTAGGTCATTAAACATCGGCTCATTTTTCAACAATCTTTATTTACTTATATTTTAGATTTTAAAATTACATCAGTTTTTTATATTTTATTAGAGATTTTTTTTCAAGGCTATCTCATCGATATCTCAAGGCTGTTTTTTTGGTTGTTATGATTCTTCATTGTTTTTTTTTTCTCTACCTTTTATTTGCAATAATAATATTAACTGCTACTATTATTATTGTTATTAATATTATTATTTTTATGGAGTAACGGGGAGGGTAATTGGCGTACAGATGTCGATAAGCCGCAACGCGCGTTAGATTGTCCCAGGACGTCTTGCTGGCGCGAAAACAACTAAGCTTCTTCATCATCGTCAAGTATCTCTATTTATGTTAAGCATGTATTTATAAATTAGTCGATGTGTGGTGTTAAGACAAAAACTCCCATGGTACTTATTCCTAAATAAAAATTACCGAGTAATGGCATTGAAGTAATTTGACCATTTTTTATTTAACAAAGAAATTTATTCCAAAAAATTGTATTTAAAAAATTGCATTTTTAATTTTGTTTAATTTTTAAATACCAATTTATTTTTTAAAAAAGTGATTAAATTATCAAGTATTTTCTAAATTGATTTTCATCGAATAATGGCATTGAAGTCAGCCGTCACTTGACCATTTTTTATTTATCAAACAAATTTGTTCCAAAAAATTGTTTTTAAAAAATTGCATTTTTAATTTTGTTTAATTTTTAAATACCAATTTATTTTTTAAAAAAGTGATTAAATTATCAAGTATTTTTTAAATTGATTTTCATCGAGTAATAACATTAAAGTCAGCAGTCACTTGACCATTTTTTATTTAATAAAAAAATTTGTTCCAAAAAATTTCAATACCAGATTTACAAGTACAATTTATAACAAATCTTGTTTTGCCTTTATTTGAAAATTTATCTACATTATTTCCTACTGCCGACTGTCTTGTTGAAGCAATAAAACGAAACCGTGAAATTTGGCGAGTTGCCATACCTATATTTCACAGATACAGCGAAATAGGAATAAAAGGAATGGATGTACTTTTGGATCCAAGTATTGAAAACGAAATTCTGACTGCCTACCACACACAAACAGTGCCGACATAGACTAAATAAAATATTATACACATTATATTATATATATATATATATATATATATATATATATTAATACTAATACTAATACTAATACTTGTACTTTTACTACTATTACAGGCAGACTTTTTGTACGCGAGAGGGACACGTTTTCCAATAAACACCAAAAATTAACTAACCCGCGGACTTATTTATAAAAAATAAGTCTAAAATATTATTTTAATTGCAAAAATATTTGGAGCTGGAATTATAATGGAGATATCTAAGGGCCTGCAGAAGGAAATTGTTTTGGTACAAAATAAATTGAAGAACGCCATTTGTGATCATCAGGTAATTTTAAACAAATTATACCTCTTTTTTATTTAAATGTTTGTTTTACTTTAAGTAGGTCATTAAACATCGGCTCATTTTTCAACAATCTTTATTTACTTATATTTTAGATTTTAAAATTACATCAGTTTTTTATATTTTATTAGAGATTTTTTTTCAAGGCTATCTCATCGATATCTCAAGGCTGTTTTTTTGGTTGTTATGATTCTTCATTGTTTTTTTTTTCTCTACCTTTTATTTGCAATAATAATATTAACTGCTACTATTATTATTGTTATTAATATTATTATTTTTATGGAGTAACGGGGAGGGTAATTGGCGTACAGATGTCGATAAGCCGCAACGCGCGTTAGATTGTCCCAGGACGTCTTGCTGGCGCGAAAACAACTAAGCTTCTTCATCATCGTCAAGTATCTCTATTTATGTTAAGCATGTATTTATAAATTAGTCGATGTGTGGTGTTAAGACAAAAACTCCCATGGTACTTATTCCTAAATAAAAATTACCGAGTAATGGCATTGAAGTAATTTGACCATTTTTTATTTAACAAAGAAATTTATTCCAAAAAATTGTATTTAAAAAATTGCATTTTTAATTTTGTTTAATTTTTAAATACCAATTTATTTTTTAAAAAAGTGATTAAATTATCAAGTATTTTCTAAATTGATTTTCATCGAATAATGGCATTGAAGTCAGCCGTCACTTGACCATTTTTTATTTATCAAACAAATTTGTTCCAAAAAATTGTTTTTAGAAAATTGCATTTTTAATTAAAAAAAAAATTTTTAAATATCAATTTTTTTCTCATTTTTTTACAGTAATTTATTTCTTAAAAAAAATAATAAATTATCAAATATTTTCTAAATTAATTTTCATCGAATAATGACATTAAAGTCCGCAATCACTTGACCATCTTTTATTTAACAAAGAAATTTTTTCCAAAAAATTATTTTTAAAAAATTGGATTTTTTATTTTTTTTAATTTTTAAATATCAATTTTTTTCTTATTTTTTTGCAGTAATTTATTAATTAAAAAAATTATTAAATTATCAAATATTTGATAAATTTATTTTCATCGAACAATTACATTAAAGTCAGCAGTCACTTGACCATTTTTTATTTAACAAAAAAATTTGTTCCAAAAAATTGTTTTTAAAAAATTGTATTTTTAATTTTTAAATATTAATTTTTTTTTCGTTTTTTTGCCATAATTTATTTGTTAAAAAAATTAAATTATTAATTATCTGCTAAATTAATTTTCATTATAATTTTTCGACTTGAAAAAAATCTACTCACAAAATAAAACTAAATTTATTTGTAAATTCAATACAAGGATGTATGTAACGTACAGTTGGTTTTAGGTAATAACGTCAAAGATGATAAAGTTACGAAATTATCCACGTGTTTGATGCAACGAACTCGATACAAAGTTTCTAGAATTGCGATTGCGACCGAAGGAATTGGGGCTTATGATCATTATTATGAATCGTTATCACGATTCAATTTAAAATAAAAAGAATTGAATATTTAAAAAGTTTTAAAAACTTTTTCAAAGTCTTTTAACTTATTTTTAATACCAAAATAGGCGATTATTTTTTTTTAAACTTATCATTGCACAATTTATACAAACCGAAGTTTGTTTTTGTCAATTTGTTTGTTATATTTTACAAAGTGATATGACTGACGAGCAGTTCCACTGCGCATCTGTATGAATAATGATAATGCTTATCAATTAGTGTTATTTAACGGATTGTATAAGATAATTAGACCGAATTGTCGGACCTACCCTACATATGTCAGTTACTTAACTCAAGAATTTAATAATTAAATTTTAAAAGTTATTTTTTTGTAAAAAAAGAATAATGAAATTTTGTGTAAATTGTTTGCAGTAGTTTGTCAAATAATGTGTAATAAGAAAAGTTTGTAAGTTTTTTTTTTTTTAAGGATTGAAAAGTTTTTTTTTTTTAAATTGAGTTCAAAGAATTCTTTTTATTTTTATAAAAAATAATTAAGAAAATTTTTATCTAAAATTAAAATCTGTTTTTTAAAATATTAAGATAGCACTAAAAAAAAACTAATTATTGATTTATCTTGACAGTAATTACATAAAAATAGCTACTTTTAAACTCATTACACTTATCAATGGATTGTATAAAACAATGAATGAAATATTTACGACGCTAATATTCTTTAATGACTGTTTTTATTGATTTATTTATTTCAAGCTAATAGTTAAATATTTATCATGTTTCATCAATTGCAAATAAATTTTAAAAACAAATATAAACTCCAATAATCAACAATTAATTAAAAAAAAACAATTGTTTTTTATTATTCAGTTATTTATATTTATTGTATTAAATTTTTATGCTAAAGTTTGTCGAGCCAAGTATTGATTTAAATAATAATGAAGAAGTTATGAATTTTAGTCATGAGTTTCATTCACTTATTACTCTAATACCGTCATTTATTAGTTATCAATTATTTTTATTTAATTGGTTATAATTTATAATTACTGTCAAGTTTTTTTCTTATGTTGAAATATTTATTGTCAATGGGGCATTCCATGCCAAATCGACCACTTTTGACACCGACCCTTTTCGATTTTTCTGAAATTTTGGTATCTTTCTCTACCCTATTGAAAACAATTTTCAGAATTTTTTCAAATTTTTTTACTCAACCAAAAAAAAGTTACGAGTTATTACAAAAAAACAGCTTTTTTTTTTTGTTAAATAATCATAACTTTTTTGAAAATTGACTTTTTGGGATGTTTTTTTTTTTTAAATTTTTGTCTTTAAATGTACTTTAAAAGAAAAAAAATAAAAATAATAATTCGGATTCATATTCAATGTTTTTTTTTTTTAACTTTTTGGGAAAAAACGAAAATTTCGGGATGATTGATATTTTTGATTTTCGATTTTTCTTTTTTATAAAAAATTTCAGTATTTTTTGCAAATTCCCTGAAATTTTCAGAGTGGTCAAATTTTTCTTTCTATTTTTTTTTTTTAATGAAAAAAAAAATTTTTTTTTAAATGTTTGTTTTTCGTTATACCACTCTGAAAAAAAATAGAAAGAAAAAGTTTACCACTTTGAAAATTTTAGGGAATTTGCAAAAAATACTGAAGTTTTTTATAAAAAAGAAAAATTGAAAATCAAAAATGTCAATCATCCCGAAATTTTCGTTTTTTTTCAAAAAGTTAAAAAAAACATTGAATATGAATCTGAATTATTATTTTTATTTTTTTTTTTTTAAAGTACATTTAAAGACAAAAATTTTTAAAAAAAAAACATCCCAAAAAGTCATTTTTCAAAAAAGTTATGGTTATTTAACAAAAAAAAAGCTGTTTTTTTGTAATAACTCGTAACTTTTTTTTGGTTGGGTAAAAAAATTTGAAAAAATTCTGAAAATTGTTTTCAATAGGGTAGAGAAAGATACCAAAATTTCAGAAAAATCGAAAAGGGTCGGTGTCAAAAGTGGTCGATTTGGCATGGAATGCCCCCAATGTTAAGTACTTGTAAAAAAATTTTTTCTATTAACCTGGAACAGATTTAAATGTATGAAAGAAATAACTGGGATATAAAAATGATGATTGTGAAGAGACGAAAACACTTTAGTGTAAAAGAGAAGCGGGGATTCCCGTAGAAGCGCGAAATATTCTTAAAGTTTTAAAAACTCAACTTTTGAAAAGTTCTTGGATGAGAATAATGACAGAGTTAGTTTCCCTTTCTAGTTAGTTCTCGTCCTTTACTTTGTTTTATTATTTTATACTTCAGTTTTAAATTATATATATCTCTCTTCGTGTTAACTGGAGGTTTAATAAATATTTTATTTACTATTTACTAAAAAAAAAAAAAAAAAAAAAAAAAAAATAGCAATAGCAATAAAGAAATGTTCTCGAGTTGATTTAATAACTTTTTTAACGCTTTGTTATTTTGATGATAATTTTTAATTTATTTTCTTTGCAAAATTTTTTTATTTTTAAAATTAAAAAAATTAATTGTTTAAAAATTTTCTTTATCAAAAAATTTTAAGATGAAGTAAATTCAGAAAAAAAAAACCAATTAAAAATTTTTTAATAATAGACTTTTAGTTACAAAACTCAATTATTTAAAACAAAAACTGGACTAAAATAAATAAAATACTTAAGGAGGTCCTTTCGCCTCCAATGTAAAATAAAAAATATTAGATTATGAGTAAATTCAATTTTTTTCTAATAGTTAAGGTCCTTATTTATCTAATAGTGAGGTTTAAATTATACTTTACCGGACAAATTTTTGAAAAAATAAAATTTTTAAATGTTAGTATTTGCTCAGAGTCTTACGAGAAAGTCAGACGTTTGCAGTATTTCTCGAATTATACTATCAGTCATGGATTAGATGAAGTAAAAAAAAACTAAAAATTAGATTTTTGAAATATTCAAGTTTCTTTTTTTGCAATAAAATATATCAGTTACCGAGATATTTACTGAGAAATTAATATTTAAAAATCACAAAAAATTCTCAAGTAACCTACGTTAAAATGGAGTCAAAACATTTGGCAACGTTGCGTATCAAAATATTTGGCAACGTTGCGTATCGCGCGAGCTTCAGACCATTCAATAAATTCAAAACTAATTTACTTATTTACACTGACTGCAAAAACTTAAACGTGGTTAAGGTTATATTGTGCAAATGAAAATGTAAACAACCGAAGTACAGCGTTGCCAAATCACGGACAGGTTACTAGTAGTTGATTTGAAAGAGTCAAATTAATTTTTGTATTTAACTATTTTTTTTTTTTTTATTTTCAAAATTTCAACGATTAATGCCTCATATACTATTTATTATTTAATTTTAGGAATTTTTATGGGTTTCTTTTTTTAATTTATCGTATATTGACTACTACAATTGTTTCGACTCAACTGGAGCGAAAGGATTTCCTTAAACTCAAGTTATTAAAACTTTTCGTGGGAAAAAAAAAAAACATTTAATAAAGTCCGGCTTTTTTTAGCAATTCCGTTGCAAATATTACCATTTAATTTACTTTTAGTTTTTTTTTTCAAATTTAAGTAATCTATTAATTAATCGAATTAAAGTGCGCGAGTACTCGTACGCATATATAACACTCTTTGCTCATTACCCTAAGTTTTGGTCTTTTAAAATAAACTTATTCATTCGAGAGTATTCGTGTATACAAGTTAATCATTTCTACTCGAGTAATTTCTATGCAACTTTGAAATTACGTGGCCTTCTCAATGCCGATGTAGATGACAATAGCTGTAGATTAGTTTTGGCCCGTCTGTTTCATAATTTGTCTTCGCTTATACTTCTCTTTACTCGTTTAAAATTACATTTGCTATTTTACATAACTCAGCAGTTCGGCTTTGCACCATTATCCAAACATTAATTACTATTACATCAATTATAAACTTTTTAATAATAATAATAATAATGAATTAAAAAGTTTATAATTATAAGATACAGTGGAAATTTGAGTATTTACTTAATTTTGGCTCAAGGATCAAAGATAGGGTAAAATTGATGCACTGATAGAAGGATTTATTAACTATTAATAATTTAATTTATTTGAAGACAATTATTTAATTTATTAACAGTCAATAAATATTTTTTTGGAGTGAATTTGCAATGTCATATGATATGAAGAATGCTTATAAACGGAAAATCATCTTTATAAATTATTGGCATTAATTATATTACATTATAATAACATTTATTATAAGATACCAAATTTTATTACAGCTCATAATTCTCTTTTATATTTTTAATTATCAAAAACGATAATTTATTTAGTGAATTGAATTATTATTTATTCCAGCTATAGGGTCATAAAAAGTGTCAAAAAAAAATTGCTATTTTTGCTTTTTATTTTAAATAAATATTTGTTAACAGTTAATAATAAACTGTTCTTAATGAATTACTTATTAACTGTTAATAAATATTTATTAAATTCAATGATGTTAAAAAATCATTTATTAACAGTTAATAAAGCTTATTAAATATAAAAAAATCTTTCTATCAATGTAAAGACCTTTTTTGTAAAGAAAAAATTCTTTATAAAAAAAGTCTCATAATTTTTTTGTATCTTCAATATTTTAGCCAAAATAATTACTTAAAACTTTTAAAAACTACTGATAAATTCTATTTATTTTTGAAATTTAAATAAAAATTTTGAGAATAGGAAGGGAAATAGGGCAAAATCAATAAGGATATTTTTTTAGAGAAAATTTAATTTTTTCATAAAAAAGGTCTGATAATTTTTTCATATTTTTAATACTTAACCCAAAATTTAAAATTGGAGCGTGAACATACAAAATAGTTTTTTTTATTGATTAATAATTGTCTAAAATATAATAATAACATACCATTTAATTTTATCAATCTAATCTTAATTAAAAAATTTTTTATTACATTCTAGATTTGCATGGGGAAGCTCAAGGATGACCCAAATGTAAGTTTTTAAAACAAAGCTAATTATACGTAATTATCTAAAGTATATAGTATTAAAAACTAGTAACTCTAGTATTTAATACTTATTTTTACGATAATAATAATAATAATAATTATTAATAATAATGTAATTGCATAAAAAATAATTTATTAAATATTTCAGAATGCAGATATACGTGGACAAATACAGCAGATTCAGCTCAACATCGTTTCCCTCGGGCGATGCCAGGTGATTGTCACTATAGATTCAACATTATATTACTCTACACTATACTTTTCCCTTACCGTTTTACCTTTACCTCAAATACCTTCCTTTGTGACAGATGCTTGGTTTTAGTGAGTGCAAGGCCATATATTGAAAGTTTCCTTCATGAAAAATCGTTTTCCCTTCGTTTATTACTTACTAAATAAATATAAGAAGCCGCCTTTGAATCATCAAAAATGAAACTTTAAAAATTTTTTAACAAAAAAATTTTAAATAATTCTTAAAATTTTTTTTTTTTAAATTACAAAAAATTTAATTCATTAATTTTTTCAACAAAAAAACTTTAAATAATTTTCAAAAAAAATTTTTTTTATAAAATACTAAAAATTTATCCATTAATTTTTTTTTGACAAAAAATGAAATTTTTGTTGCAAACTTTTCAATGATTAATTAATAATTTTATAAAATTAAATGTAGTGTGTCATAAATGAAAAACTAATTTATTCTCATCAATTGTCACGTCACAGTTTAATATTTAATGAATTTTCCGCGAACAAATAATGAATCTTAATATTTCCCCGGACTTTTATCGCGTTAAAATTAATTAATCGTTAATAAAAACGGTAAATCATGGGTTTAATTCCCGAAAATGAAGATTAAAGATTCTTGTTGAGGGTTGAGCGTGAAAAATAATTAAACTATTTTTATCACCAGTTGCGCATCGCCGTGATTCGTCGCATCTTCTATTCTCAAGTTGCTGCAGTGCTGACGCGGACTAGTAACATCGATCGTTAATACACAATGTATATTGTGAATTACATTAAATAGTCAGCTAAAATTAATAACTTGTTTATCGGAGAAATTGTAAATTCATCTATCTATCTATTTCATGTTGTCATCACCACTAATCTACTAGTTACGTAGATTATTAATAACCTTCGAGCCCTCTATCGCTTCACTACGGAATTATTAATATCTTCTAAAACTTTTGAAGAAGGAAACAAAATCAAATTTTATTATTTTATTATAACACAAAATAAAAGATTTTTATTTTTTATTTTTTAAATTAAAATTCTTAATTAAAATAAAAATAAAATTATTGATCTATAAAAAAAAATTCCCGCAGAAATTTATAAAAAGCTTTAAATAAATAGTAAAATTAAATTTTATAAAAGTTTCCGGAAAAACTTAAATTTTATTATTATAATAAAAAAGTTGAATCTCATTATTTTTAATTTTTAATTAAAATTATTGAATAAAATAAAAACAAAATTATTAATTTAAAAAAAAATTCCCGCAGAAATTTCTAAAATGCTTTAAATAAATAGCATAATTAAATTTTATATAAAGTTATAGCTTATGATTTTTAATTTTTAATTAAAATTATTGATTAAACAAAAAATAAAATTATTGATCAATAAGTTAGCGATGCAGTAAATTTATAATCCAACAAAAAAACCCCGGCAAAAATTGATAAAAAGCTTTAAACAAATGGTCAAATTAATTTATTTAATGACTTCCAAAAAAAAACTTTAATTTTATTATTATTTATTATAATAAAAAATTAAAGATTGTTATTTTTAATTTTTAATTAAAATTATTGATCTATAAAAAAAATCCCTCAGAACTTGATAAAAATCTTTAAACAAATATCATAATAAAACTTTTTAAAAAGTTCCGTAAAAAACTTAAATTTTATTATTGTAATATAAAATTAAAGCTTATTATTATTAATTTTTAATGAAAATTATTGATTAAACAAAAACTAAAATAATTGATCAATAAGTTAGCGATGCGGCAAATTTAAAATCAAACAAAAAAAAACCCCTTACAAATTGATAAAAAGCTTTAAACAAATGGCATAATTAAACTTTATAAAAAGTTCCGGAAAAACAAACATGAAAAGCGCTCTATAGCATTGTTGTCGGTTTGTTGGGAAAAGTTTCCCCAAAGTTTCGAACGGAACCAACCAACACCTCTGCAAGGTCGTCACCTCGATAGAGTTTTAGTTAGGGACGTTAAAATCGTTCAAGACTATTCCAAAAGTTGACTTTCTATTTCAAACTTTTACTAAATCTTCATTTTTGATTCCGAAAAAAAACATCTGAGCTTGAAGCAATCAAAAACTCCGAAAGAAGCAAGTTTATGGATGATAAATGCCTGTTGTTTTATTAATCATAACAAATTTTCGAGTAAATTGTTATCTATAGCTCGCCAATAAAGCGTAAGATTCAACTCTGCCGTCCAATCGGCGTTGGCACGCGAACGGCAACCTGGTTCTTATTGATCTTCCCTCTAGCTTTCCAATTGAAACCGCAGAGGAGCAGCAGCAGCTCGACTACGACCTTCCCATCTTTCCATCTTTCCCCGTATATACATTTAATATATACATATATACTACATTTATCTCATTCTCTATTCTTCTCCTCTCTTTACTTCCATCCCTTCGTACATATATTGTATAAATATATAAGCGCGCTAATATAGCTGGCTATATGCAGTGTACATACAGATATAAAATTATATATTACACGCAATAAAAAACTCGAGATTCACCAGCGCGATATCGAATTTGAAACTCCCGCGTCTCACCGCGCAAGTTTCTGAAGACTACTTAGAGATATTAAACGTTACTCTTTAAGAAGCTATTTATAGAAGTACATATATAATATAACAATGCAGTTTTCATTGTTTTGATGAGTACATTGATAGCGGTTACATAATTTACGCACTTTTTGTTACTTTTATTTATTATATCCTAATATGATGCTTCCCCAAGCGGCAAAAAAATTTTTTTGGTAATATTTTGTTGAAATTAAGTTAATAATTATTAATTTTTTACTTGTTAAATAAAACTTCCCAAAAAGTCAACACTTTTTTATGTGACGCTTGGGTCGTTTCATGCTAACATAACTTTTCTTCCTAACCGCCATTTTTTCGGCCGCTTGTAGTTTGTTCTGATGTTTAAATTAAGAAATTAGATACTTTTTCGAAGTTTTTATTGAAACTTTATTATAATATTGAGTTTCTATATTAATTTTAATTATGAGTACACTTTAGCCGCAATTTAAATAATATTTAATTACTAATTGAATTTCCGCGCGTGCGCGTAAGTTTCTGAAGACTACTTCTGGATATTAAACGTTACTCTTTAAGAAGCTATTTATAAAAGTAAATATATAATATAATAATGTAGTTTTGATGAGTACATCGATAGTGGTTGCATAATTTACGCACTTTTTGTTACTTTTTTATATATTATATCATAATATGATGCATTGTTTCATACTAACCTAACTTTTCTTCCTAATCGCCATTTTTTCGGCCGCTTGTAGTTTGTTCTGATGTTTCAATTACAAAATTTGATACTTTTTCACAGTTTTCATTGAAACTTTATCATAATATTGAATTTATAGGTATTTTTTTAATTATGCGTCAACTTTAGCTGCAATTTAAATAATATTTAATTACCAATTGAATTTCCGCGCGTGCGCGCAAATTTCTGAATACTACTTCGAGATATTAAACGTTACTGTTTAAGAAGCTATTTATAGAAGTAAATATATAATATAACAATGCAGTTTTAATTGTTTTGATGAGTACATTCATAGCGGTTACATAATTTACGCACTTTTTGTTACTTTTTTGTATACTAGAATTTAAATTTACGCGCGCAAGCGCGCGCGTCATATTTATTGTCATGATATATTTATGTGTCGTTTATGTATAGTATGTTCACTTTCAACCAATCAGAATGAGAATATTTATTTTCAACCAATCATATCACGAATAAATTGGTTTCACATACATTTCATCTCAATTTTATTATGGGAATCACATCACGAATAAATTGGTTTCACATACATTTCATCTCAATTTTATTACGGGATTATTATGGGATCATAATATGATGAATTGTTTCATCCTAATCTAACTTTTCTTCCTAACCGCCATTTTTTCGGCCGCTTGTAGTTTGTTCCGATGTTTCAATTACATAATTTGATACTTTTTCGCAGTTTTCATTGAAACTTTATTATAATATTGAATTTCTAGGTATTAATTTCAATGATGCGTAAAATTTAGCCGCAATTTAAATAATATTTGATTACCAATTAAATTTCCGCGCAAGTTTCTGATGACTACTTTTCTGGATATTAAACGTTACTTTTTAAGAAGCTATTTATAAAATTAAATACATAATATAACAATGCAGTTTTGATTGTTTTGATGAGTACATTCATAGCGGTTACATAATTTACGCGCTTTTTGTTACTTTTTTATTTATTACATCATAATATGATGCATTGTTTCATGCTAACCTAACTTTTCTTCCTAACCGCCATTTTTTTGGCCGCTTTTAGTTTGTTCTGATGTTTCAATTACAAAATTTGATACTTTTTCGCAGTTTTCATTGAAACTTTATCATAATATTGAATTTCTAGGTATTAATTTCAATTATGCGTAAACTTTAGTAACAATTGAAATAATATTCAACCACTAATTAAATTTTATTGCGGATAAAATTTGAAAAAACTTGTTGTTTACTTTCAGACGAAAAGTTAAATAATTTTTTTTACAGCTATAAAAAATACTATTAATATATTTTAATTTTTATTAATTAATAGTATTAATATTAATGTTAATATTAATGATTATATCTAAAGAAAACAAAAAAATTTCCTTGTTACGGCGCAGCTAGCTTAAAAATCTAAAAATCGTTATACAGCCACTTTGGCACAACGCCTTGAGCTTTACTTTAAGCGTCTTTTCTTCTTCAGCTTCTTTGCTCGTTAATGATGGGAGTACAAAGGAAATTATCTGTATTTCTTCTCGTTAATTATTTATTGAAACTAAAGTAATAAGACTTAAAGCTGAAGAAGATATTTAACTTATTTTTAAATAATTAAAAATAATTTCAATTCAAATTAATAATAATTATTACGGGAAGAATAGTACTTTTATTAATGAAAAATTAAAATAATTTATAGACAAATAATATTTTATATTTGTGATTATTTACATGATAAATTATTCAATTTGACTAGCTAGTTCTTGAAAAGTAATTCTTGAATCTTGTTTTAAATTCTTTAAGAGTTTTTTCTAGCGCACTAATATTATTGAAGAGCCGATCGATCACAGAAATACCTACCGGGTGTTTACTCTTTAGGATGTTTTATATATACATATATTCTTTCGAATATTCAGGGTGTGTCATTTGCATTTTTTATCATCCCAAACCAAGCCTTAAGGGCTTTGTTTAATACAAGCGCAAATCTGATCTCAAGTCAATTATTTTTTTTTTTTATTAATATTTTTCCTCGGTTATTTTTTTTTTTTATTATTAAAACAGAAGTTGCACGCGCTTTTAACTTTAGAATTCAATTTTGTAACATTAATTATTATTGATTTATTAGAAATTTAATTTTATTGTTTGTGCGAAATTGAAGTAGGTCAAAAATTGAAAAGTTTTGTTAATTGAATTACGGAAAAGTTAGTTTTAAATTTAGAAAAAAAATTTTTTAGGATAAAATTTATTTTTAATTGAGAAAAAAAAATTATTTAAAAATTTATCAATAATTTTTTTTTTGGTACAACTCAAAAAATTTTTTTCAATTTAGTTTACTTAAAATTTCGTTTAAAATTTTAGTAAAAAAATAATTAAAGTTAATATTAAATAAAAAAATTGTCAAAAATTTTTGAATCACAAAAAATAAATTATTTTATTTAAAAATTTCATTAAAATTTATCAATAATTTTTTTTTTTAAGTTAAAGCTCAAAAAAATTTTTTTTATTATATTTTAACAAAATTGTGCTTAAAATTTTAGTACAAAAAATAATTAAAGTTAATATTGAATAAAAAAAATTTTTTGAGGAAGAAAGTTTTCTTCTTTAGCAATAAAATTAATTTTTGAATCATAAAAAAAAAATTAGTACTCGTAAAAAAATTTTTCTAAGAGTCTAAAAAAAAAAAATTAATAATTGAAAGCACATATTAGTCTAACTGAGAGTAAGTGAACGAGAGACCTGTAGATTCCTAGGGGATGATTATTGACGTTGTTATAAACCCGTAAAATCGATTCTAAATAGACTCTCCATTTGCTGAGAAGTTTTTCATTCAAGTCACCGGTCTAGCTCACATAGGAAGTAATAAAAATAGGATTTTATTTTATTTATTTCCCGGCTATTACTTATTTATTTCCACGTACCCTCGGAAAAACCGAATTCACCAAAAGTAAGCGCTATAAAGTGTCCTGAAAGGAATAAGGAAGAAAATTAGACTTTATGAAATAAAGTAAAACTATAACAAGACGGATGTTATTTATATATGTATGTAACATGTACTTTTGCCTAAAGCTGCGGTATAAAGTTAGATCTACAACATACAATATCCATTATTAGCAATGAGTAAAGTTTGTTGTTGGTTTTTGTCTGTACGCAGAAGCAAGTTGTCGAGCGATTGCGCAAAGAAGTCGAGGGATACCAGGCGCAGAATGATAAAGGCGTTAAACTTTCAGTAGCTTCGCTTTTGGGTTTAACTAATAATAACAATAACATAAACAATAACAACCATGCCAGCAGCAATAACAACAATCACTTCACGCCAAATAATGATCAGGATAAGGATGATGTTCTCCAGGTCAAGGTTCAAGCTAATGGATTAGCCAAACGTCGACGATTAAATAAGGATAATTTTAGGAATGGAGTTAATAAAAAAATACGTGCCAAGTAAGTATTTTTTTTTGTATTTAATCGATATTATTAAGAGAATAATATATATATGTATATATGAAAAATATATGAAAATGCATGTGGATACTCAAATGAAAGCTCTTTATGAGTGTAACATCGGGATGAGCTTATATCTTTAAAAATATCAATAATTAAGAAATGACCTTGTATCTTGTGAACTATTAACATTTTTAAAGATATAAGCTCAT